TTTGTGCTTCCACAATTTTCTCTCCTACATTTTCCGGTGCTTCTGTCGACTCTGTCTCTATCCTCCCTTCAATCGTCTCTCTTTCATCTTCTTTCTCCTTTCATCTCGCTTCTAATCCTCTGCCATCCACTCTTTTCCCTCGTCTTTCCTCGCGATCTTTCAACCGTCTCTTCGCTCGCTCCGCGCCCCGTCTCTCCGCAGCTTCTTTCATCCTCCGCTCGTATTTCCGTATTTCCTGTACCTCCGTCTCGCTTTCCCGGATCCGTTTCGGCGAAGGTTGCCTCTCCATGGACTCCATCCGTCCTCCCTCCGACGCCGCGGCCTCTCGAGGCTCCGTTCGCGCCGCGAATTCGCCGGAGCCGCCGCCGCGACTCTATTAATAACGGGTCGGTGTCGTTGCACGCCGCGCTGTGTACGCTCGGCGACGTTCTCCCTTAGGACCCGTCCGTTCCTCGAGGACCCCGAATCCTCGACCTCGTTCCTCCTTCGCGCACGGTCGCTCTCGCGGCCCTGAGGTCGACGCTTCGTCGCGTGGGCGGCGCAACTTCTCGACGCGAGGCTGAGACACGCCGCGACAACAATGCTCGGGGATCGAGAAGACGGGGAGGTTCTCGCCTGAGCGACCTGTCACGTGTTAGTGCGCGTTCCTCGATGCTTCGAGGATTTTTCTCGGACCCTGGCTTCCGAGAGCAGTGACGTCGATCTTCGCACGGCCGTCTGGAGTGCTTGTTGTCCATGGTTCGGTGTTTTCACGCCTTTGTTCGAGTTTTTGGGCTAGACGCCAGTCGGAGGGGAACGAGGACAGTGTCTTTTGCGTCTGCTTCTTGCAGAACGACTTGTTTTTCTGCAGACACGCGTGCCCGTTAAGGGAATTGCTAAAAACCTGCGAAGCGGCGTCTACGTTTTCATACGAAAGACAGTTACAATGTTTTCCTTGTAAATTATACCTTCGACGAGTATTAATTACGTTTCGACAGGTAGTCTTTCACTGGATACTAGAATTACGCGTTCAATACGATTCACACGTAATCCCTATAAAAATCGTGACGTTATCTTCGGTTTCTTCGGGCATCCGTTACAGCATCGAAGCGAGACTATTCATTTCCGAAGTCACTCGAATATTCGATACGTCGAAGATATCGATAATTATGAAAGAGGCAGTTCGACTGGTACGGTAATTCTCGCGAGAAACGATTCGTTTCCAAGAAGCGAGTCCACGAAACTGGCGTTGCAAGTGTTGACAAGATTTACCGGTACAGGTTCCTTGGAGCGTAAAAAACGCTGCTCATGATTGGTGTCGCCGGTTCGTTAAAGGTGTCCGGATTTATTTAAGGATACTCGGGATCCTTCGATCGCCGCGGGAAATTCCGGATGACTTTCCTATTCGTGTCGTTTAAATATCTCATCCGTTGACCAGTCGCGCGGTGTTCCTCACCTGCGTTTCATATGTTAACGTCCCGCGTTCCCCGATAACTAATGGCCGTACCGATGGTAACACAGCGGCGACGGATCGCCGAAGTGATTTCTCCATCTTTTGGCAACCGGATTACGTTTCCGTCATCTCTCGTTCCGCTGCTGTAAACAATCTCTCCGCGCGTGACACGGGGGGAGACAGGATGCTCTTGAAATAAATTTGTTCCCATGCTTCTGCACGGATTCACGGTTCTTTTATTATCCAATTATTTGTTTCTGTTACAAGAGTGCGCTACAGCTGGCCGACGCGTTCGAGTTTCGTTACATTCCGTATACCGAGCATCGCCAGAGACACTGGCGCATTGTTATTTAAAATTCTGGACACTTGTGTAAACGGGCTCGCGTTCCTATTTAACACGATGATTGAATCTTTGAGTAATTTCGGGACAACGGTCTGTCGTCGAAGCACTCGCTTCGCTATTCGCAAATATTCCATCCTGTGTACGGTCTACCGATAGCTTAAAAAGGAATCGACCGTTTCTTCGACATTTCGCTTCCTATTTTATTCTCAGATTTCGAAAACCGATATTAATCCAAATCGAAATTATTGTACGTTCGCGAACCGTTGGAAATTCTTCGATACCAAACAGATATTTCATTCCTTCTAGATGCGATCATGTTTGTTCCCAGCAGGATATACAACAGCATGAAAGACCATAAGCTCATAAACTTCTCAGTTTTTGTACACCCGCCGAATTGGCATTTCTCAATCTCCAGTTCCACATAACAACATCGGTTTTATGCATATTTATAAACATCCTGTTACTATACTCGAGCACAACTCGAGCCGCGCTGTTCCCATCCTCCCAAACAGTAACATCGGTAAATTCCCTTATCCCGAAAACAATCTTCAACCCCGCCGCAAGCGAGCATCGTGCAAACACTATCTACATCCCCTCAGATCCAGCAAGCGTCTCTTCAGCCGAGATCGCGCGATAATCCCGCAGATGTTCGCCTCGAGAAACGACCGAACAGCGAACGAACGAACGAACGAACGAGAAGCTCCCAGTGAAATCGTCGAGACAAGAGAATAATAAATAAAATCCGAGGAACAAGTGTGTGCCACCATGCGGGCGAGCGGCACGTCGATCAAGCGGATCGCCTCTTGACCGGTGGCAATGGCCGCGACGCGACGCGGGCTCCGATTCCCGTGGGGTGAGCCCGAAGAGGGGGTGGGATCGAAAATATGAGATAAAGGGGCGCGGTTTTCGGAAAGCGGCCGTCACTATAAATAGAGGCGCCTCGTGCGTGCGTGCTATGCTTTTAAACATAGTTTTGGCAGCGCGAAACGTCAAACCGCCTCGGAGTGGCAAAGCGCGTGGAT